AATTCACTGAAAAGCTCAGTAAACCCCTGAGCCCATCACATGGACCCTATGGGCCCAACACTTACATTAAGTGGTCCCTAGGCCAAGCCATCTTATAAAAACCCAGGGACTGTGGGCAGGTGCAAGATTATCCCATCAGGTACTATCCTAAATGGTCTTACACTTAACCTCTCATCCCTTAATGATCAAGCACTGCCCAACAAGAGATGACCTCTCCCTCGGCTGCAAGGAACAGTGCTGCACTATGATCCTGTCACTATGAACAGTGCCGGCAGTTTGGTTTCCATCAGAGAGAGTGCATTCCCGATCATTACCTTTGTCCGACAAATGGGTTGATCCTGTCACTATGATCACCCATTCAGATGAATTCTCAAACTGTCCCAACATACTTAGGTTTTGATCCCCGCTAAGGATCTCATTGATTGGCATATCAAAGACAGCCCAATCCAACACCTAGTGAAGTGTCATAATCGAGTCTAGGGGTCAGGTGTAACTTTCCAATTTTGCCCATCCGTTTCCAAGGTCCAGGGCAACACTGGAAATCTGGTCCGGTTCAAGGATTCGAGTAATCACATACTGCATGTGCCTTGGGTCTTACCCTGGTGGCCGAGACAGGCCATCCCAACACTTGGTGGCACACCAGTATCAGCCTTGGTAGGATAAATCTCCCCAGACTTATCCAATGGCTATGAACATTTAAAACTAACACGAGTCTCTATAAGTGTCTAGTTTTAGGGTTTTACACAGAATTATACCAAACAACATGTACTTTATTTATTTACACAAAATGTTAAAAGTACATCATTTGATGGGCCAAATTATCTCTCATCATGACCTATCTTGGCCTGCCTTATAATTTTCAAAATACATGTACTACCCCATTTGAAATAAGTTCTTTTTCACCAAACACTTATAAATGCTTATTAGGATAAGCACTCCCAAACAACGCCTGAATCTACTTATATAGCATCCAAGATATAGGCCTCTTAGGAGCAAATGCTCTCCTCGATGGGGTTTCTTTTGGTTTCGTGTTATGTCCTAGCCTGGTCTTAACGTTCTGGAATAAGTCACTGTTCTGGTTGATGAAAGTCCAGAACAGGAAAAATCCTAGATATCTATAAACCAGCCCATGGAGCCCAAAACCAGACCAATAAATTCAAGTGTATTAAATATTCCACTTACAAATAAATGGGATCTCAAGTCTCAACAGACATTCCACCAGGAAAGGAAATAAGGCATGAAGGTTCAATAATAACTCAGTATTTTCATCCATTTTATTAAATCATTACTTTTTGACCACTATGCTAATTCTTAGTTTTATATACTGAGGATTTAAAATTTAATAGAGTAGATTGTCCTTAGTAGTCTGGAATGGAGAAACAGGATTTTTGTAGCTAGTTGAGTTTCATATGGTCAATATCAGTTTTATGATGTGCAGACTTATTCCAGTTTGGGAAATTATCTAAAACTCACCACTTTTCAATATTTCCCTTAAATTCACCATAAAACCCATGTCAGAAATCTAGTATTAGAATACCAATAATTTCTGTAAATTTATTTATTATTCTACCCTTCCGTTTGATTTTGCTCTAAACGGAATAAGAATAGTTCCTGTTTAAGGCCAGAAAAAAAAAGGGGGGAAAAGGAGGGAAAGAAAACGGGGAAGGACTTGGACAATGTAATTAACAACTGCCATCACTCACGCCTTCAAAACCCATTCCGATTTTTTCATGATTTTGGGACTCTCTCTGTTCCCTTTTGGCGCTTCTGAAATGGTAGAGGACATGGACGATGGGGAGTTTTGGCTTCCTCTTGGTTACTCGTTGAAGATGAATGACGAACCTATTCATGAAAAGTACAGACAAACAGAAACTCATGGATTATACGAACCACAATAAGCACAACAAGGGGTTTGCCTTTGAGACCGACGTTGGGCCTTTTTTCCCTTTTGAGTTCTCCCCATGCATTGACATACTATAGATCTCCTTCAGCTCTTAGCTCTCCAGTTGAATCTGTCATGGATTCATTCTCACGTGTTGGATTTTAGTGGTTGCATTGGTTAATAAAAAGCATTTGAAGGAAATTAATTTAATTAGGTGATGGGTTTCAATCTCAATGACAATTTGGTGAAGGAAGCAATTCAACTCGTGCTTTATTTAACTATAAGAGACGAAGCAACAGGCCAATGGCACAGCCTTTGGTGTTCAAGGAGAATTTCAAAGGCCCAAAAGCAAAGCTGGATGCCTGGATCATCATATGAATGTTACCGTTAATTAATTACATTGAGCATCTTCGGCTCAACGGGGGGATCATTCATTTTGTGAGCAAGAACTTCGGATGGGTTTGGTAACAGTAGATGTGGGCAGCCCTGGCACTTATCTTCATCCGCATCGCCTCCTCCATAGCAGTAATAGCAATCTAGTTCCGGTATGATTTAATAATAACCTACCAGTCGGCGGTGCATTTTCTTCAAAAATTGTCAGATTTTGAGCTGCCCATAAGTGGAGCTAAAGCTCGTTAGAATGGAAATAACTTACTTTCAGAGTGGTTTAGTGTCTGTGTGTTGGGGTATGTTTTAATCCTTTTCGTTTGTAGGGAGAAAGAGAGAAAGAAAGACAAGGAAAATAGAGGAGGGAGGCTGCCGGACTGGTTCAGCCGCCACAGTTGCTCCTCTCTGGTTGGTGTTCATAGGGAAGATGAACAGTAAAGCTCCACCTCCACAATATTAAGGGTAATTTGGTCCTTATAAATATTTAATGGTACATCTGGACAACTTCTGTTAATGGTCACTAACGATGACCTGACAGAAGGTGAGTCTTGGATAGTACAATATCTCTAACAGGTGGCTCCTTGGATGCTTTGAAAAGTTGTGAGTTCAAGAGAAATGTTGAAAACTCACGGTGAGTTTTTGACAATTTCCCTTCCAGCAGTCTTGAAAGCAAACTCGGAATGATGAAAAGGAGAAAAATAAACTTTGTTTAATTAGAGACAAGACATTAAATCCCACTCCACTGCATCAATAGATTGTTAAAATATGACCAGCTGTAGAAGCAAGTAGCTGTTGACAAAAACAAGCATGCATCTTATTCTTATAAGCAGAGGGGCAAAATAACATCAGGACTTGTTTTTGGTAATGGAATAACATCAGGATGCAGATTATAACCAGGCTGGATTCTTCAAAGGAGAAACAACAGCCTTTACTTGCAAGTAATTGCTTAGGCTATAGATTCCTTTTTCTCTGCCCTGCCCACTCATCTTGTATCCACCAAAAGGAATTGCAGCATCAAAGACATCAAAGCAATTAATCCATACTGTCCCTACTCTTAGTGCACGCATCAAGGTGTTGGCAGTCTCGATGTTCTTGGTAAAGACTCCTGCAGCCAACCCATAACGACTCTTGTTTGCCCTTCGTATCACATCATCAAGGTCCCTGTTATCAATCAAAACATTAAATAAAACATACAATCGTTTGACAGCCAAAAATCCAGATGTATGGACTGTTTGTAAGCTCACTTGAATTTCAAGATGGACTGCACTGGACCAAAGATCTCATCAGTTGCAATTGGCATGCCATCCTAATTGACATCACAATAAAAATCAAACTAGTCCTAATAATTCATTTGTGCCGGTTGAAGGTTGAAGCAGTTAGTGTGATGGTTTGGATGATACCTCAACATTTGAGAAGACAGTGGGTTGAATAAAGTAGCCTTTGGTACCAAACCTTTCACCTCCAGTTTCGAGAGTAGCACCACATTCAATTCCAGCTCTTATGTACTTTAGGACCTTCTCCAATTGTTCCGCATCAATCTGAGATATTCATAAGATTGATGAAATGGTATCACTGAACTGAATCGCTGTAAGGACTTGATATACGTTGTAGTACTCACTATCCGAAAGCAATCAGATGCATGCTGTATAAATGTGGAAGCACAAATCCAGGCCATGGTCGGGCAAGCCAGAGAGCTCTTTTATATTGACTTTGGTTGGAGAAGGTGATAAATGATGTTTTCCTTAATGATCCTTTTGTAAATGGTTCAACCCACGTTGAGTTTCTTTTTTTAATTGTTTTATCCTTTTAGGGTCCTGAACTAAAGGATGGCCGAAAAATGTCTTAAAAAAATTTTAAGGTTTTGCTTGAAATGTTCAAATTGCAACATAGTTCTGACTTCTGGTAGTGGAAAACCTTCTTGTTTATAACCTCTATGGGTTTAATTACTTTTGCAGAATGATGGAATTGAGGCAGGTTAATGTTCATAGGTCATATTATTCAACAGAGAGGAAAAAGGGTACTGCTTAGGTTTAAGCAAGAAGAACAAAATAGTTGCTTCATTTTGTTTACACTTTTAACTAAACAATTATTCAAATAAAGGTGCTGACTCAAAATGGGAGAGAATGTCAGTACAGAAGTTTTCTTGTAGAGAATCCCAAAGATACTCTCCCGTAGATAATTAAAGCTCAAGAGAGATGGAATGCGGAAATTACCTGGGGACCTTGTTCTACACCCTTCTTGAAGGGGTCACCAACAACACGCTTCATAGCACGTGCCTTTGCTTTTTCTATGAACTCATCATATACATTTTCATGAACAAATGTGCGAGACCCAGCACAGCAACATTGTCCCTGCAGAGAGAAATGTTTCATATCAGTAGTTTAATTGTTGAAGAGGTGAAACTTGTTTTTACAAAAAAGAAGCAATTGAACAAACCTGATTAAAAAACAGAGCAAAGTGTGCAAGCTCAACAGCCTTATCAATATCAGCATCCTCACAGACAATGAAGGGGGACTTTCCTCCAAGCTCTAGTGTCACTTTCTTAAGGTTGCTTCTTGCAGCTAATTCAAGAACAATCTTCCCAGTATCAGTTGATCCCGTGAAAGCAACCTGTAAAGGGATTTGATAGCCAGAGTCATAACCATGAAAAAAAAAAGTAAAAAGAGGGGTGTTTCCATTCTCTTTCTTCTTTTTTCTGGGATAGAAAAACGATCATTAGTCAGTAGTTACAAATACTGAAGGAAGGAAAACCCAAGATTGTACCCCCTCCCCCCCCCCCCCCAAAAAAAAAAAGAAGAAGAAGAAGAAGAAGAAGCAGTTGCCAGAGATTAGATCCATATCCAGTCTACCCCTCCCAAGACCCCTAGGTAGCCAGGACGATTAGGGTAATGGCCCTTCAGTATTCCTATCTGTTCTATCTAATGGTATACTAGTCAAGTTATCTTTCATTTCTATCTTTTACTAATTTATAATCTGCAATAGCTGAAGCTAATAATTAAAATGGTCAACAATAAAAGTTTGTAGAAACAGACAGAACAAGCCAGAGATAGAACAACATCCAACTAAAATGTACTTGCAATTAAATAAAAGAAATACAGATACTAATAGTCTTCAGAGGTATCATCAATGCAAAATACAGATAAATCAGAAACAATCCAAATTAGTACCCAAAAATAATATGAGATAACAGAGAGAGAGAGAGAGAGAGAATTTGCACCATTGCATCAAGAAGCATTAGCAGCAGCACCTATTATTGTATCATGTCAAACTCACTTCACTGGTAAAGCATCAAAATGTAGGTACCAGTGTTCCCATTGTTTCTAGACATCCATCAGTTGTCAATTCATTTAACCATTTTAACACTAATAAAACAATAACAAGCAACTTTATCTGCTTACATTTGACATGGAAGCAGACTACAATTTCTTGTTCAAATATTTCTCAATGGCTTTCTTGATATACATGGTGTTGTTGCAAGTAAAATCTAAGTGTTATTCTACTTGTAACTTTCACACCTTAAAGCAGTCCGCTCACCTCTCTAACATGGTATTTAATTCACTGGTACGACCATTGTTCTCCACTAAATTAGCACAAGCTATTGTAATTGAATATAGAGATCACCAATTCACCACCTTCTAATCTTTTTTACATGGAAAATTCTCTTATATCTTTTATCTGTCATTGCAGCTCATCAGAATTTTGATCGTCCAAATATTTCTGCTGTTTAATCACAAAAGTTATGAATCAATATTCTGTTACCCATCTCTTAGTTGCTTAAAGCATTCACTGTTATATCTGCGTTATGTCAGAACCTCTTGAAGAAAGAATTATCTCTTCACAAGCCCAACTTCCATATCAAACATAAATGTTCTTTGAGACAGAATTTATTCAAGTTAAACCAAACATCATCCCTTGATGACATCTCTTCCATTTCCTATAAAGAGGGACGATCAACCGTTGCCTGCAATTCCTCAATTCTCTTAAAAGAAACAATTCCTATTCCATGATTCCCAATAGAGTCTAAAAAAGATGAAGGCCACCTTGAATTCATGATTTTGAATATTTTTTTTCTCCTTATTATCTGATTTAGCTACCTCAAGTTAACTTGGCCTCATTCCCAATTATTTGGGGTTGGCTACCTATTCATGTGGAGTTCAAGGTTTAAAACATCAGATAAATGCCATGAAACCTCCCTGGAAGCTTTATATCATTAAAGAAAACTGAATACAGAATCTACGCATATATATTCTTCAAGGTTCATTAAGTTCATTCAGTTACCTGGAAAACCATTCTAAAATGTGTGAACTGTGAATACACTTATTGTTTCCTTTTATAGATTTCTAACTTCACAGAAATATGTAACTTTGTTGCATAGAAGCTATATGGGAATTAAAATTCTTAATGAGTTAGATGTTCACAACTATAGCCTGTAAGAAAGTTTCATAAGCACCAAGCTTCTGGACATAAATAGCCATGATACATCTCATCACCTAATGCAGCAAGTTGCATATGTATCATCATCATCTGAGCCTTATTTGAACTACATCCATCAAGTTGCTTATATATACAAGCACAAATTAATTTCTGGAGATTAATAATTTGTTCAAGGGAATAGGATTAAGTTAACCTTGAAATATCAGAATAGGTATCTTTTAGGCCCCGTTTACTTTGAAGGAAGTTACTCGGGCAAATGCACTTACCTGGGTAAGTGCATTAACCCATGTTCTTTTATTTCCCAGATAAATAGGACAATGACTGTTTTAGCTATAAAAAATCATTATTAAAAGGGGCAATTTTGTCCCATCCAAGTGTTGGCAACTTTCCCCCCAGGTGGGAAAGTTACTTACCCACCTGGGAGATGAGTATCACTTACCCGAGTAAATGATACCCAGAGAAAATAAAATTTTCATGGGTGCCACATAAATCTGAAAAAATAACATGGGTATCTTGGTCAATAGGAACCAAAATGCCATTGACCAACTTTCCCCCCTCTCAAAATCCAAAAAACGAACAGGCCCTTAGGATCTTTTCCAACCAAATATGTTTTTCATCAACAAATTCCATAAATATCACAGAATGGTTGAGCAGACAGGACCATACAGATACATATGATACAGCTCCACTTAATAATCATATTAAAATCAGGTTATAAGTGAAATTTTGGAAGGATGGATGACTATAAGTACACAAATCTTATTCTGCAGCAAGTTCAGAAAATCTCAAGAATAAAAGTTACGCTTAAAATACCTTTTCCACATCCATATGACTGGCAAGAGCTGCACCAGCAGTTGGACCAAATCCTGATATTACATTTAAAACACCCGGAGGAAGACCAGCCTGACACCAAGAAACCACATCAGAACACAAAATAGAGCATGCAGAAAGAACAGAGACTCCCAATGAAACACAAGAAAAACTTATCACAGCAGTGAACTAAACATAGGTATGTACAAGAAATTATGGCGAAAAACTTGAGACAATCATGATAGATAATGAGGAAAAAGGGATATTTGAATATTCATAGATAAAATCCATGAAAAGTAAAATCCTGTTGGAATTGCTAAGGTTACATATGCTCTGAAACACGTTGGATAAACATACATACCACAATCATGAACAATGTGATTAAACTCCTTTTCCTATAGTTGGACAATGTTCATATGCCTCTTGCTTATTCTGTGATTTGGCATAGGTTATGCATACACATGCGTAATACTTCTATGTATTAAAATCTTGAACTGTTAACATGAAGATATAACAGTACAGGTATGCCAGAACAGTGGGACTTCTTAGGAAATAATCCATATATAGTATCTGGGATCAGTCACGCATTGACACAATCAATTAATCCAAAATGATAGATATGGTTTCTCATTTTATACATATGAACTCTCTGGGATATTCCAACATGTAAAGGGAATAAAGAAAAAAATACACAAGAAATATGAACAGTCCATACACCTACCTCATGGAATAGCTTTGACACATAGAGAGCAGATAAGGGTGTCTGCTCTGCAGTCTTTAATACAACAGCATTGCCACATGCTAATGCAGGTCCAACCTTCCAAGCATACATGAGAAGAGGAAAGTTCCATGGAATAATCTGCCCAGCAACACCGATTGGTTCATGCAGGGTTTGAACATGGTATGGTCCATCAGCAGGGACAGTGAGACCATGAATCTTATCTGCCCAACCTGGAGAGTTTGCACACAGAAGCCTTAGAACAATCACTCAAATATGAAAAAGAAAAGAATTCCTTAAATACATGTAGCAAGACCAAATATCAATAAGCCCATTCTATTTCTCTTACCAGCATAGTATCGAAAGAGGCGTGTCAGCATTGGTATCTCAACTTTAGCAGACTGTTCATATGGCTTTCCATTATCCCAAGTCTCAATTGCTGCAATTTCATCATTGTGCTTTTCAAGCAAATCAGCAAAGCGATATATTATCCGTGATCTTTCCTAAACAAACAAAACAAGGATGAGTAGGTAAGTAATTTTAGTATGATTCAAGAATCCCTTCATATATAATAAGTTAATAACTACAGTCACATAAGCTCAAACTATAGTAACGGAGTTAAAAATTGATTACATAAGCAGTCATCTTTGGCCACGGTCCCTCATCAAATGCCTTTCGAGCAGCAGAGACAGCCCGGTTAATATCTTCATCCTCACCTTCAGCAACATGTGCAATTACCTCTCCCGTCCTAGGATCCAAGGTAGGAAAAGTTCTCCCTATGTCCAGAGAAACTTCAAATCAATTTTAATAGATAATTATTTCACAGGAGGGTCATTGAAGCAATAATAATAGGAAGTTCTGAGGTCCTTATAAGAAACAAATGCAAAAGCATGCTTTCGTTGGAGAACTAAGAGGAGGGAAATCCCACCTGATGCTGCATCCACAAATTGTCCATTGATTAAAAGCTGGGTATGTTCAACTTGAACAGGTGGAGTAATTACTTCTTCAGTCGCAGTAGCAGTGCTAAACCGATAGATGCCTCTGCTCCAGCTTGAATTTCTGCCTGAAAATTATATTTCATAGGTATCAAGTGTGCAGTAACTGAATATGTTAAAATACTCAAATAACAAATGGAAGTATATAAAAAAGAGTTCAGAAATATATTATGGAATGCAAGAGCTGAATTAATTGATAGACCAAGGGACATAAGCACAAGCCTGAGCATGGAAAGAGAGTTTCACAATTTAAATGCACAAATAAATAGCATTTGAAAACTGAAAGAGAGATTTACTTTCCCAGTGTATATCAGGAAAAAAAAAACATTTTGTTCAAATGATGGATGAGACATCTCGAATCATGATTCTAACAATGGGGAAAAACAACCTTCTCTCTAAGCATTCTATGCCATACAGTCTATTTTCATTTGTCATGATCTCTGCTTGTTCTTTTTTGCTTATAAATCAAGCATTTAATGCATGTTTAGAAGAGACTAATCCGGATTATGAGTTTTTTGAACTATATCCATGTTCTTGATTTCAGGTTGATCTATGATCAGCACAAACACCCAATGCTATCCCTGTTCAATCAGGAATCTTCTCAATCAGTTCTCATGATTTCTCTTTACAAGACTACAATATCAAAAGAAAATCTTTCATTTAAGCCCGGGAAAGATCATGGAGATTGAAACGTCCTGACATCTGAGTAATACCAGAAAAGAAATGAGGTACAGGGCCCGCTGCTAAGGATCAAAGAATATAGAAATGGAAATAAGGCTACATATTGATTGGCTGATTAATGGGCATGGAACAAAAATAAAATAAATTAAAATGAAGAAGAAAGAGACAAAAAGCATATATTTCTTTTGATTTCCAGTTCCAAACAATTGTATGAAATTTGTAAGTTATAAAGATGAAGACAATAATTTGTCAAATCTCCTCCTCTTCCTTCTTACTGGAATTACTAGTATGTTAGTCAACATATCAGTCAAGTTGAAATAAAAGAACTACAGACTTAAAAACAGAATTAAGTTATAAATTCCCCATCAATACATATCAAAAAGGAAAAAAAATTATATAATCCAACAACCATGCTAGTAGAATTTCAATCACAAATTATCCTTCAGAAGTGACTCTCCGATTAAAACCTCAAAAAGTATGCAAGATCAGATTCTTCAAACCTGATACTAACCGAGACACTTAAATACCAAAAGAAGAAGAAGAAGAAGAAGAAAGAGGTAAAGTTTATAACGTGGCATCTTGAATCTTCTGAAGCGAAATGAACTATTAATCGCTCAGACTAACTGCTCATTCTTCGGAAGTATCTCCCTTCGAAATCCTCAGAGCATCTTTTTAAGGATGAAAGAAAACGGAACTCATCGGAAAGAACAAGTCAATACCAAAGAAGAAACCAGAACACTTCAAACGATCATCGTTACCTAGAGAACGTAACGAAGAAGCAGCGAACGGTCGAGAGAGTAGCGACGAGATCCTTCGAGTCGCCATAGCCCCGACCAACTTCTCTCTCTCTCTCTCTGACTCCCTCTGGTTCTCGTTATCCTCCTTTCCCCCTTTAAGCTAATCTGTATGTCTGATTCTCGCTCCCTAATCCGTATAAGAAAGGGAAGTGATAAAGGATCAAGACGTTTGACTATCTGACACAGACTTTGTATTCGGGCGAGTGAAAAGTCTGTATCAGTCCAACACTCCAATATTCGTGAAGAAACCTTTTTTGTAGTCGATGGCAATGGTTCTAGGAAGCCGTAAAACAAAATGATTTTTCAAATCCCATCCGATAATTATTGAGCGCACGTGTAAAATAATAATTAAAAAAAAGGTAAAATTTTTAAACTATTCTTACTGTAATTAATTAATTAAGTATATTTTTATTATTTATATATTGTCTTAGAGTATTCTTAAATTTTCTGACAATTAACTACCTCTACCCCTATAGGAACTATTAAAATCCGTCACAATTCATACACATGTGATCCCACGTGACCTACAAATTTTTTAACTCTAGCGTGCCTACAAATCGAACGGCTGATCTGAGTTGCCCTCCCGTTCCAACACTCTCTTTTGCGACAGCAGCGTTCGAGGATGCCATGAACGGCTGATTTGAATTGGCTTCAAAGATCATAGAGAATAACTCCATTTTGCGACAGCAGCGTTCGAAATCCTACAATTTCTGTCAAAATTTAAGCTCCGTTAATGGCGTATGCACAGATGCCCCAAACAAAGTTGCAGAGCTTGTAGGAAGCTTACTATAGAGAGGTAAGAGCTTGTCGTACGCCTTCAGGGAGAAGGAAGAGCTGAACAGGAAGGAGGACTTTGGGCTTCGGAATTCGAAGCTCAAAAACTGGAGTAGGAAACAACGCCACAGGAAATCTGGTTTCGCGAGAAGAGATACTTCGGAGGAGGTCTTCTCGTCCTTCCAAGCCGCTTTAATCGGTCTTCGATCGACACCTTAGGTGAAATTTTGCTAATAGATTCAGTATTATAAAGGAGAAGTTTTTATGCCCCGAGCAAAGTTGCAGAGCTTTGTAGCGAAGCTTACGATAGAGAGGTAAGAGCTTGTCGTACGCCTTCAGGGAGAAGGAAGAGCTGAACAGGAAGGAGGACTTTGGGCTTCGGAATTCGAAGCTCACCGGAGCAGGAAAAAACGCCACATGAAATCTGGTTTCGCGAGAAGAGATACTTCGGAGGAGGTCTTCTCGTCGTTCCAAGCCGCTTTAATCGGTCTTCAATCGACACCTGAGGTGAAATTTTGCTAATAGATTCAGTATTATAATGGAATAGTTTTTTATGAATTCTGCTCAGTCTCCCATGGAATTCGATACCATGGCTTGTTTCTTTGATCCCACTTCCACTTTTTGTATAATTCTGCTCAGTCTCCCAAGGAAAAGTTTTTTATGAATTCTGGTAGCCTACCTCCTTTGAGCACATGCTATTTTTGTTGGTGGTCTCTAAATACCTGTTGGATTTAGGGAAAGGCAGGACCTTCTACCGTTCTACGGTTCCGTCTCCAAATGGTTGACTGCCATGATGAAAAAGAACAGAAAAGGGGGAGGGGGGAGGAGAGTACAAGTCGAGAGAAAGGTTTTCTCATAACACATAACACAAGTTTTCTATTGCAACTTTCCTTCTCTGAATCTTTACGTCTTCAAATGGCTTCCACTCTTGTCATTCTGTTATTGCATAAAGGCAAGGCAAGTTCTTTTTTCTCTTGACAGCAGGGGTGAAATGGGAAACATGCTCTTCTCTAATTACAAAGTCCAGGATTCTTATCATTTGAAACAAACTTGTCCCCATAAATGTGGTTAGGGTTTTGATGTACCAATGGTTCTTTTCCCCCCCTTTTTTTTGTTTTATTTTGAAAATTTGAAGAAGAATGAAGGGTAAAATTGTCTTCTTATTTTTCTGTTAACGGACACTAACGGTGAGAGAAGTATTAGTCAATTGTCAGATAGGGATAATGTTAGTCAATTTTCAAACAGTAAAACTACATTTAATCAATTAGTTAAACCATAAGGGTAATTTAAAAAATTTACTCTTAAAAAATAATAAATAGACTACTCTCCACCTCAATATCTGAAATTGAAATTACAGCCCCTTCTAGAAATATATTAATAACCATTATCTTGTTCATGAATTTGGCAGTCATCATTCACAGTTACTGTCAGGGTGAGGATTCATCGCACCTATATGGTGAGGCTAAAATTTTTGGGTGGAGTAAATACTAAAATCCCCTTGAATAAACACAATAAATGTGATCATGTGAAGCAAGTATTAACCTAATGTTAATGTTATATAATAATCTGATAAGGCTTTGTTTGGTGCATTTTTTTTTACCAACTATAGGTCTATCAGCCTGTATTTTCATTTTTTCTCGATTGTCCTGAAAAGATATAAGAAGCTCTATTTGAGATTATTTCAAAAAATTAAAAATAAAGTTTTTTGCCTTTTTTTATCTTGTTTTTGTGTAGAAAAATGAATTTCCAATCAAATGGTCTATAGGCTACCAAGATCTTTATAAATTTGTTATATTATTTATTTTTTTATAAAAACATGTATATATAATAAAAATAATTAAAAAATACTTGTATTTTATATTTTTACTTTATTTAAATTAGTATATTTTATTTTCCTTTTAATAATTTATTAAATTTTAAAGAAAACAAGTTGAATCACATTAGATCCGAAGGTCTGACTTACCAATAGGATTTGAATTCAATTCGATCCGTTTTTTATCCCTTGATCTTTAAAAAAAAATCTTACCAAACGACACCTTAATTTTTTCATCATACACGAAAACCTAAGCAAGTACAGATAGATCATAGATAGATGTACCACCAACAACGAAACGAAACGAAACGATTGCTTCAGTTGATGAAAGTGTTAGTTAATACCGCACGTTTGTAAGAGTACCGATACAGTATTGTACTATTGTTACGGTTGAACTGGTGACTCAGTGATCCGGTGAACTTACTCGGTCCCATTTACTTGGTTAGCTGAGAATTGCTTTTCCTTTTTGAATTTCACTAAAATACTGTGTTTTATTAACAAAATGGAAATAGGTTTCTTTCAGAAGTATTGAAGATAAAGAAAGCGTTATTAGTATTCCTAGAAGGTTAGGCTACAAGCAGAAGCAGATAGTGGTTGTAAACTTTTGTATGGAACCAACAAACGACACGTAACAAGAAAAAGCCATGGATAAAAACTGGTAATTGATTAGCTGTGGGACACAGCATGACATTATTATAATTAGGTGGTGGTATACGGTATACCAATTACCAACACAGACTTGAAACTTCTAACTTCAACACTTACGTGTTTTGATTGGTCAATTCTTGCATGCTTTCCACGTCTGGTTTCTACCTTCTAGAAGAGAAGGTCACCTGGTCGCAGGACAATTCAGCAGCCTCCAGTCAAATGCCAACACGCCAGTATTTGCAAGAAATTCAACATTTTATATCAGTTGATTTTTTTATTTTAAGTACCGACGTGTTCGCATTTCACTGAGGTTGCTGGACCGTTCTGCAATCAGGATTGTAGGCAATCAATGCGAGCTCCTTAGTATGTTTGGACTTAAAAAAATGTGACCCCAAATTATTTAAAAACTATTTATTTGGGGTGAAACGGGATTCAGCCGGTGCAAGCTCAATTCGAACAGTTTTTATAGCCTTGCATTGGGAATATCTCCCCATGAAATCAAGCATAGAAGTACGGAGTGCAAGGCTGTAAAGATTGTTTGAATGGAAAAAAGTAACAATGGAATTGTTTATTGACAATTAGGATTAATTTGTAAGGAGTACAAATGTAAATATGTAGAGTGTAAAATCTTATATTTTATATTATTTTCTATGTATTTGGGCTATATTGTATTTGCATTCTTTCCAAACTAAGCCATAGGCACCATTAAAGTCTTAAACATCACATCAACATAACAGGGAATTAACGCCTAACCATTGGAGAAAGCATTAAAATGAAGCTTCGTTGACGTTCAACGGTAGGTGTGTATATAAATTAAGGCTAGCTTTATGCATACGGATCAACATAATAGGCTAAATGTTGAGGTGACGCCTACGTGACAGTGTTTATTGAAAAAACGCCCATGGTTCCAAACACTACCTTAATGTTTTGTAAGAATGCAATTGTGTTGGATTCAACCACATCTGAATCTCATCTTATTCTTGAAAATTCAAATTCAAAATTCAAATCTAGTTTGGGATATGTTTGGGCTCAGATCAGATTTAGATCTAATTTGAATATATTTTATTGTATTTAAAATAAATAATTAATTAAAAAACTTAAAAAAATGAATCACTTTTTAACATAAATATAGTAATAAAATAACCCAAAATCCTAGGTAACTGAGACTAACATTAATGTACTATTTATGTATATAAATAAATAATATATTAGAATGGGCCTTTCTCAAATTTTAAATGGGCCCGAATTCAAACCCGAACCCAACGTAATTGAACTTCTTCAATTCAGACAACCCGAGTTAAAGCATATATTTATTGGGCCCTAGCAATAGAGACAGTTAGTGATATTTTAGGAATGCATCCAAGAAGTCAGAACTTCATTTTTCATTTTTTTTGTTTTATATGGTAGAAGGGATAAGGATTGATGCATCAACAATAATATCGTGACTTACCAAAAAAATAAAACAATAATGTCGTGATACTATCTCTGTACAGGTAAGGTATACCCAACATCCAATTTCAGAATATGTGGTATAAGATGCATGTGTAAGCCATGCATACAGGGAAAAGACTATAATAGCCTTGGGGGGACAGCAGCTTCGGGCTCCCATAATTTGCTTATCTGTCCCACCATTGAACAAGAATCGGTACTTTTTTCTCTGCTCCAATCAAATGGCTTCTGACAAGCTGTGCTCCAACCAAATACCAGTGGGGTTGGAATCTTTTCTCTTCTGCAATCCATTTAAATCTAATAATATTATAAGGTTATCATAATCTTTTGTATAAGCTGATGTTTGGTCCACTCGATCTTGTAAGTAGGGTCCACCAGAAGATGCCTGGGCCGGAAACCCATAAACAAGTCCTGTGCCCTCATAAAGCCCGATTAATAGCTCATTAGTGTATAATTTAAGGTTTGTTTGGTATATATTTTTGCGTAGTCTTTTAGCTGTTAACAAGTTGTGAATACCGATTTTCGGTCTATTTTCGTTTGAT